CGACGAGAAATAAGTTGTCTTAACCGAAACTAAAGGTCATAATTAACTATTCCATGATTTTAAGCGAATTATCTTATTAATGAGAACATAATTCAAGTGACATGATCTCAAAAAACTAAAATCAACGGAATCGGAGCTCGGAAAGCTGATATCATGGAGATCAGGGCTATGATCGAAACCCATGGGAAAAGGTTATCGGGGTTGGAATCAAAAAACCTTGTTTCCGCAAAGTTCTAGTCACAATTTTATAAATTTTTGGTTTACGAGTGATTATGAAAGATTTTCTATAAAAACAAAAAAATGCCTTTATATTATTGTATAGGTTCTCATGTTGAATATGCCAATTACATCTGTTGGATATCTAATACATATTATGTACCATTTGAAAGTACCTTGCCAGCCAGACATGATGAACGACCGAAACATATTGGTTAGATTTTGTTTTCTTTTGATGATTTTTCGTTATTATTCTTTTTAATTTTTGTTTATTTTTAATTTTTAGCCTATTATCAATGGATCCCATTTATATTATTACTTATGTCTGTCCTTTTTTACATTCCCTCTGTTTTGTGGCATGCATTTTCCACAAAAACAGGTTTTGATATAGCTAATCTTGTTAAAACATTACATAGTATGGAACAATTAAATCCTGATATACGAGATCGTACACTCAGATATATAGCTAAACATATTGATCGTGCTCTTGAAATTCAACGTGAAATGGGCACAGGGTTTTTTTCCCAATTTACACGTATTTTACGTCGTCATTGTCCTTTTTTTATTATTGGTCGTGCTCAAGGCAATTATTTAACTTTTGTCTATTTATTTGTCAAATTATTGTATATTACAAACGTTGTTGGTCAATTATTTTTACTTAATGTAAGGGATTTTTATTTTCTAGGTTTTTTGTTTGATTTCTTGTCTTTTTTTCTATATAGATTTTTATGGGTTCAAATTACCATGGTTATGGTATTGAAGTTTTAAAAAATTTATTATCAGGTCGTGAATGTTGTCGTTCAGCACGATTTCCTCGAGTTACAATGTGTGACTTCGAAATTCGTACTATGGCTGATCATATACATAAACATACGATACAGGTATTTTACACAACATTGATCAACGTAGTCAGCATTTTAGACAAGAAAAGAAAACAATAGAGAAAAATTGAAAATGTTTCTTGATTAAAGAGTAGAGTAATGTATTTTGTGCAATTAACAATCGATCGATTAAATAGTTTAGCGAACGCGAAGAATGATTATGATTTAAAAATATTTTGTAAAATTCATTTCAGACAGTACAATTTTATATCTGTTGAGAAAAACATCTTACAAGAATTTTCACATATTCATCATTGAGATAAAAATTAGTTGAATTGTTTTGAATTTTTACAACGTGTTCATCTGATTGTATTGGATTTTTAATAGAAAATTTCATATTGATCATAAGTCATGTCAGACAAACAAAATATTGTTGACGATTATTCTTTGTTTTGAAAAATTTGTTCCATTTTTAACAAGAGCAAAAAAACGAGTTGATGAATTAGCCGATAGTAAAGGTATAAGTTAATCGGCTAAATTCCAGCCGCCGCCGTTGCGATACAGAAAAAAAAAACTTTTTATTTTTCAAAAATTTTCGACATCTGAAATCAGTTTTTGGAGATGTTACCGTTTGATTTCTCGGTAATTAGGTCTCTACTATCGTTTTCTTTCTTTTTCATTTCAAAATTTCTCGAAATTAAGAAAATTTTTAAAAAAATTCATTGAAAAATTTCCACTGTCAACGTTTCAAATATTTCTAACCACTGTCGCCAAAGCCTAAGACTTTTGTAGTCACCGCTACCGATCGATGCATCGGCTTACACCTCTAGACGATATATATTTTTATTCACTATGATTTCAAATACCTAAATAATTAAAATAAAATTTTTTGTTTATTTTTTAGTGCGTGCTTCCCGTGAATTTATTTAATGAAAAAATTTTTATCTTCATATGGTTTTGGCTTGTCATTGTTTCTGTCTTATCTTCATATGGTTTTCTAATATGCATATGGCAACAAATATTACCATTTAATCGTGAACATTTCCTTAAAAAATATCTTAAAATAATGAATCGAATAACACGTGAATCATTTGATAGAAAATTATTTCATACATTTTCAAACAAATATTTAAAACCTGATGGTGTTCTAGTTTTACGTCTTGTTGCAATCAATACAAATGATGTTGTTATGGGAGAAATAATGGTTGCTCTATGGGATAGTTTTAAACGAGCACAAGATGCTGATGGTGGAATATTCGTGTAATAATAATCGAGTCAATAGGCAGCCAAAATTTTTTAAGAGTTTTCTCAGGAAATTTGTCATCTATTCCTAGTCAAGAATTTCCTTGTTTGTTTTTTTTTATAATCATATTCTCCCTCTATGCAATAGATTCTTGTCACGCATATTACAAGATCTTTTATTTCTATTTTTTTGTTCTTTTTTTTTACTGTGATATGAATATCTTATGTGTCTCTATACAGCAATTTGAAGAACATAATTGTGCAACTATATTATCAACAAAGTCAAAATTAGTATTAGCAGATTTTTTTTCTGTCACCTTTTTGACTGTTTGTTTCTATTTGAAAACTGACTATGTCAAAACGCTTTTCTTTTGTTTGTATGTGTGCATGAGTGTTTTATTTTATTTTTCACTTTTTTGTTTTAATGTTGATGAAGGAAAAAAAACGAAAAAGATGATGTATAAAAAAAAAACTAATAAAATAATTAAACTATATATATGATCGTTGACAATAGCTGAGAAAAACTTCTCAAAAGATTTTGAACTGTATTATCAGAGTCGACAATCAAATGATAGAAAAGGTTATAAATAAAATTTTTAGTTTTTTTTCAAGGTTAATAAACATGATTCTTCCTGTAGAATATTTTCTAGAACAACAATCTATTATTTCATACTCAATAACGTATCAATGATTTGTCAAAGTATACAGCGATTCTCCAAATGATTCGACCAGTTTCAATTTTTTTTTCTGTCGTTGTAAGTGCTAATAAGAATTCAAATATTCATTTTTGAGTAGAGAATTTTATTTCTAATAAGAATTTTCAAAGATGAAAATGATTGCTAGTTTTCCAAGGATAAAATCTTTTAAAAATCAAAACCAACGTTTTTCAGTTCCTAGAATTCTCAAGTACAATTCTTTTTGAATTACTCAGATTGATAGAATAAGCAATTCGCTATAGAATGAAATGTCTTCCAACTCTCTACGACGTTTTTTTGATCGAGATACATCAACTTTACGGAAGGCACAGAAGTTGATCGTTTGTTTTATTTTGTTTGGAAACAGAGGACGTCGTAGGACGTGTGTCCTGCAAGATAATATTCAAGCCTTGTAGGACATGCAAGTTACCTCACTGATAGTAGAATTCATCGTGATTTTCCATTATTATCAACAGTAACCAGAAGAGTAGGTGTCATATTAGCAACTACTGGTTTGGTAGAAAGATTATTACGTTCAGTTGAATTGATCTTACCTCAAAGATGAACACATTTATCAATAACTCAAATTGATAACCTATTATTTATTCGTTCATACGAGAAATTCAAGAAAATACAACAAAAAGAAAATTTATTCCTTCGCGTTGTCCATCTATTTATATTGATTATATTTTGATTCCATATCTTTATGTTTGTTTTATTATTGTTTTGTTCATCCTATAGATGTCAAGTATTTTTTTCCCATTGTTCAGTTCATTTCTGTTGGAAAAAATGTGATAAGTATTTATTAACATGATTATATTGTAAATAATTTTTATATACATAGTACATCTATGATATTTGATATCATATCTCATATACAGATCAGTTTTTATCCTTGTCAAAAATGCAATGAAAAGATCGTACTGCAGGCCAGACTCAGGAGGATCCTTTGTTCTGGGTCTCGCAAAACAGGACGACTCAGTGGTAATGTTCTGCAAAACGCAGGATAAAACGAAGAAAATTGTCCTGTGAAGTTGTCTGTATGAAAATACCAGTTTTGTGTCTCCATCAAAAACCATCACAGAAGGCTAGAAGATATTTTATTTTGCAGGGAATTGTTTACTCTATCACTTATGGCAGTGAAAAACATTGAGAATAAACATGGTCAAATAATTTTGGGAGCTCATGTATGTTGAGAATTTATTTAAAAAAAGAGTGCATGAATTTTTTGTTAGATAAAATATTTTAAAAATTATATATTGACTTAAATCGTTTCATCATTAATATCTACATTTAATTATCCAAACCATCTTCTATCACCTAGAAGAATATTGGATAGAGGAAAGATGTTTTCTCAATTGTTTATCGAATTTTTCTGTTTTGTTCGATAGGAAAAGAAAGGATAAAAAATACACTTCAAAGCTGCATTGTTAAGACGAATGAAGTTGATAGATGTATGAGGAATTAAACGAGTATTATTGCTAGCCTAACGGTATTGACATGGATCACCAATCAAAAGTTAGAATAAAAGATGCATTAGTGGTACTTCAAATTAACTACACGCGAACATTTACCTCATCAATGCAATGTGGACATTAGTCAAACAAGGTGTTAGTGAAATTCTGATGGGAATAACATGTGAAACACGATATGGCTACTGTTGTTAAGCACAGGGAGATTGTTTTACTCTATCTATATTGAGACACATTTCTTCACCATCCTTTTACTTATGCATTAGAAATGTAATAAGTAGTTCATATAGAATAACGATACGTTATTGATATACGGACCTGAGATCGTATATCAAAGTCTATCATAGTCTATGACACAAGAGAGGGTTCAAATTTTTACCTCTATACTTGAACATTTCTTTTAGATCGCGTTTCACAAAATGACTATTATTCTTACATTTACATAATAGAGATTCGATCAAGTAAGTTTTTCTACTAATCGGTGATCAATTGAAATTTTTCAAAGTATTTTTAATACAACTTTGATACGTTTATTTAGATTGATAAAAATTTTCTCAATTAATCAAACGTATTTCACAAATATGAAAAGAACTTTCGTCATCTATTAATGACATAAATTTGATAAAACGAAAAACTTGAAAACCATCTGGAAACAATTGTGTACGAAAAATGACTAATTTTTTTTGTTTCTTATAAATAATTCCTGATTGAGGTTTTTTAGGAAGTTGAATCCATGTTTGACTATCGAGTGATATTGAAATTTGTAATTTTTTTTGTAAAGATTTTCTATGTAAATATTCAATGGAAAATGCAAGATTACGATCGGCTTGTATTGTTTGAAAATCAATCCCATATAAATCTCCATATCGTAATGAACGATTCATTTTCCAACAAGTTTTATTATCATTATCAACAGCATTAGCTGTATTAAATTCTTGAAAAAATGTGAAATTTTCTCGATATGCAGATTTTCGCATATTAGGTAAATTAGCACGTGTACCACGTTTAAAATCAGTTGCTATATTAAATGGTATTTGTTCAAGATTATCAATTGGTAAACAATTAGTAAAAAAAATAAATTTATCATTATATGAACAAGGTGATTTTGTATATGTAACTAAAGTATTTGATGCACGTTTTCGTTGAAATAAATTAAAATTAAAATAAGAACGAAGTGATTTTTCAAGAGTTTGAATACTCATAACTGATGCTCGATATTGTAATAATTCAAAATCATAATTTTCAAATGATGATTCAACACCTTCGTTAGACTGAAGTAAACGTCCATTGAATTGAGCTGGTATTTGATTCATCCATATGGAAAAAAATTGATCACTTTGTGGAATTAAATCTAATAAAACAATGTTTATACAGATATAACTATTGTACTTATTTTTATCATATTGATAATAAAAGACAATCATTTGTTTTGTTAATTTTTGACAAGTGCCTCAAGTTCCAGTCTAGCCTATTTTATAGTTTAATTCGCATAAACTATCATATTTTTCGTTTTCAATATGAGAACCTTCAGTTAAGTAAGTGTGTTAATGTTTTCCACTAAAATCGATTTTGGACCTTGATAGATTCAAATCACATAGAATCTTTAAGATTTATTGGAGCTATAGCAGAGAAGCCGTGATAAAATTTTCATCTCGATGCCATAAAGTTTTCTGCAGATATTCATCAAATAATGTTCAAAATTAGCTAATTTGCCGACTCGAAATTCTCTATGGGTCATCATTAGGAACATCTAGTTTTTCTTTTTATTTGAAGGAGCATGTAAACCTGCAGAGTCTAACTGGATCATTTTTTGAAAAAATTACTTTTTTATTTTCGGCAAAAGGATGACAAATTCAATAGCTCAAAATACTCGAAAAATCAATATCTAATTATTTGAATTTATTTTCTATCAGAACAAAGCTTAATTTCAAACATAGGTTCGATCAAATCCTGTCGCTAAAGATGCTCTTTCAAACAAAAACATCATTATTGACTACAATCAAGTTACCTGGGGAATCTGTGGATGTGCGATCAAATAATCGTAAACAGAGAAAATGCAAAAAAAAAAACGTTTTTTTTAAATGATAAATTCATGATTTTTCGATGTTTTTTTTATTTTTCTCTTTATTTCTCTAACAGTAAATTTCTCTTGAATGTTAGAAAAGCTTTTTTCTAAATTCACCTTTCAGGAATATCGGTGTTTTCGAGGTAGCAAATTAGACAGGAATTATCAAGAATTATATTTAAAAAAAGTGAAGTAACAACAAATTAATTATGTTTATTTTGAAAGATGAAACGTCTAGCTATTCAACCATGCATATATCTCAATTTCGACTTTTCTGAGAAAAGTTCACTTTTATCAAGTAAGAGAAGAAATCTGATAAATGTCAAAATACTATATGAACTCTATCTGATGATGAATTAAAGCCTACACAAATCTGCGCTACTGTAGACTGTTATGTTGATCTAGACCTGCCCGTATAGAATAGCGGCGAAGACAGTGAATGCATGATAAAACTACAATGATCTTAGACTCATTTCGACCTTTTGGATCTGATGAAGGAGATCTATTTCAAGAAAATAGCTGAATTTTATAAGACACGACTGATCTGTGAGAACTAACGAGGAAACTTTTTCAGGTGCCCCTTCGATTTCAATGATTTTTTTTTTCGCCTATAGATACTATTCAGTGCTCTAGTAAAAACTCTTAACGGATTTGAGTTTCTATCATTTCCTTCAAAAGTTATGAACATTTAAATTTTATTTCTATAATGCATAACATACAGTATGGACCATAAATAGTACTGCGATAGAAAATGGAATATCTTCGCATCAGTTCAATTGAATGGGCTGATTTTTTGGTTATTTGTAAAAGTTTATTCAAAACTTTTTCTTTTCATACAGATAAGATAAGCAAATATTACCATTAAGTATTATTGCTGGTATTATGAAAGCAATTATACCTGTTATCAAGTACAAAAAAATACATGTTTAGCATTTGAAAGATCATTTTGATTTGTCATCTAACAGAATACGAAGAAAAAGTCAAAAATGAACTTTATCAATGATTCTGTATTGGTATACATAAAGCAATTTTTCAAAACTAGTCAGTGTTAATGCTGAAGTTTGTGCGATATAAGTAAGACACAATTGCAGTCCTTTGAATGTCAAAACACCAAGTCTCTTGCAAAAACCTGTATTCTATGTTTGAAAATTCGATCTTTGTAACCGTTGACTTTTAAATTAACCAGTTTTGAAAAGTTGCTTTATGTATATCAATACAGAATTGTTCAAAAGTTCATTTTTGACTTTTTCTTCGTATTCTGTTAGATGACAAATCAAAATCATCTTTCAAATGCTAAACATGTATTTTTTTGTACTTGATAACAGGTATAATTGCTTCCATGATACCAACTAAAATACTTAATGGTAATATTTGTTTATCTTATCTGTATGAAAAGAAAAAGCTTTAAATAAACTTTTACAAATAACCAAAAAATTAGCCCATTTAATGGAACCAATGTGGAGATATTTCATTTTTCATCGCAGTACTATTTATGACCCATACTGTATGTCATGCACTATAGAAGCAAAATTAAAACGTTCATAACTTTTGAAGGAAATGATAGAAACTCAAATCCTTTAAGAGTTTTTACTAGAGCATTGAATAGTATCTATTGGCAGGAAATCATTGAAATTGGTGGAAATACCTAAAAAGATTTCCTCATAAGCTGTTCTCAAGCGAGAAAATCGAACTCGAGAATTTCGATAAACGTTCTATAGATTCGAATTTCTAGACCCCGAAAATCTTTAGTTTTATAAAATTCAGCTATTTTCTTGAAATGGCCTCCTCAACATAAAATATCGAAATCAATTCAAGACCACCATAGTTTTATCATGAGTTCCACGTTAGTCTATACACACATACTGAGATCATTGCAAAGCTGTACATTAAACCGTTGCATTCCTAAAAACTAAAATGTGTATTTTATTTTCATAGAAATCGAAAGAACAAAGGACTTTACTTATTCGGGCTTGGTTTACTGTTTTCATGCTGCTAAAGCTTTGAAACTTTTCATGAATACACGTTCATTTTAGTGAATCGCTGTAAAACTAAACAAAAGATTTTTCAAAAGAATTATATATTGTTAACTTAAAAAAACAACAAAACTTCTAGCATTTATTGTGATTTACTGACAAGAATTCTATTCAACTCGAGCCATAGATTTCTAGTATTTAATTACTTTACATTCTTCTTCTTTGTTAACGAATTTGTCTTAGAAATATATTCATAGCTTCAAATTGATTCTATACATTTACAATCAAAGATATACTGCGAAATTAGGTTCTTAACACAAGATGAAAGATACTGTCTACTTCATACATGACTCGAACTGTAGTTCTAAGAGTCATCGAGTATTAGAATTACGTCGAAGAATAAAGATTTTTCAATTGCAAAAATAGTCTCATTGGATCATAAATAAAACTCTTTGAAAGTTATTCAGTAAGTCCACGCTCCCTGAAAAAAAGATCAATTATTATGAAAAATATGAAAATTGAGATAAACATATGAAAAGATAGTCCGAGATTTAGTCTTTTATAAATGACATGATTTTCCATTTGGCAGCTTATTTTGTCCAAAAATTTCCGTCATTTTCTACTTAAAAGTATGTTTTTGTTGACTACGCATCACAGAATTCTCGAATGAACTTCATTGTAGCCAATGGTTTTTCTTTTTGTTTGAAAGGACATGTTGAGATACAGGGCATAACAGAGTCCCGTTATAATTAGAGCACCATTTTTTGAGACATTGAACTTTTCTCTCCTTAAAAAATAAGAATTTAAAAATAAGGATTATGTTATACCCTCCATCGTGACATACTCTTTCAAACAAAAATATTAAGTATATGGAATGAAGACCTACAGAGAATTTCGGGTTGTCAAATGAGCTATTCTTAACCCTTGTTTGTTGAATATCTCTCAAAAACGTCATTGTGTAGAACTGGAAATTTTACCATAGTCTTTCCACTACAGCTTCAACATATCCTGAAAATTTCATGCGATATAAATATACCCGATCTAAGATCAAATTTTAATTGGTGGGAGGCTTTATCACTCTCATGTGTAATATCTTACCCCGATTTTTATAATTATTGAGAAAAAAATTCATACACTTCAAATGACGAACAGCATTATCACGTGAAAAAACTGATCCACAACCAATCCAACTAAATCCAGTGTGTAAATTGATACTTTCATCAAAAAATGTCCACATTAAATTAGTAAAATAAGTAAATTGATCCGTTATAGCATGAAGTATAGTTGGTTCAAGAAGAAAATGTGAATAAAGACTTCTGACATACATTCTTATATCCCAATCATCATCAACATAAAAACAAGCATTTGTTTTAGCTAATTGACATGCACGATATTTTGCTTCATCTTTTATATTAACATTTGAATTAACTATTTCAGTACGATTATTATTTTCAATTAATAAATCTTGAAAAGTTAAATTTTGCATTGGATTATTATTCCAAATAATAATATTAGAAAATAAATTTTCATATTCAAGCATTGTCTTAACAAGTTTTTGAACACCATTTAAACGTTTCCAATAAAGTACAATACCAGTTAATTGATATTGGTTTTTCAATTGAATATACTTATCTAATTCATATTGAATATCATCATTACTAAAACTAATTTATAATAGAGATTTGCTTGTTTTATCGTTATACTGAGAAGCTAAAAATATTTTGAATATTAGAAGTATAATGAGTAAAGAGGCAATCTTTAATTTGTAACGATACCAATATCGCTGGTACTTCATAATATTATATTCAAAAAGTTTAAATAAATGATGCAATTATTTATCTTGGGTACATTTTGCTTTTTTTTTGTTCTTTCTTATCTTTAAAAGATATTAACGATACTCTTTATACAGGTATCATTAAATTATAAAACGTGCATAACGCAAAATTGAAGTGAGTTTTATTTTTCATTGATTTGCATATGGGTTGCAGAGCTGATAATGCATTTATGATTGTTATTTCAATTAGGTTACTCCTTCGTTGCACAAAGCTCCAAATATTCATAAAATCAGAGATATAACCAAAATGACTTTTTTCTTAAAACAGTTCTTCAGAGTCTATAATCTTTTTTCTAAATCAGTATCAAAAACTGAGTAGAAAAATATTATTTTCTAGATTTAAAATAAATAACGTACAAAACTGGTATCAATATATGTAGGCTTATAGCATGTGTTTATAAGTACTTTTATAGATCTAATTAGTCTTTTCTGACAGAAAATAAAATAAAATATATAGTCACATTTGAATTAGTCTATTTTGAGCAACAAAGCTACCTATGAAGTTTTTTCAAATTTAGTATTGTTGTTGAGAAAACCGAACATTTCTTCGTTTTGGTAGTGAAAGAGTCTGAAAATGCCCTTGTTTATTGCAAGTTCTATTATCCAGATACAGCTGAAAAACAAATGAAACAGAATACTCAAAATTAGAGTAGAAATTTTTATTGGGTCACATACATGTGAGAAAATTCTGTGTTAAATGGAAAATCAACTCCAAGGAGTAACTTAGGCAAAGTTTCGAAAGAAAAGTTGTTGTTGGCGCAATTCTTGTGGGATTAAAATGTGAAACACGATGTAGTTGTTCTTGGTAATCACAGGAAGATTCTTTTATTCTATCTATTTTGTGACACATTTCTAAATCATTCTTTTACTCATTTCTTCAGAACTGAAAGCAGCAAGTAGTTTATATATTATAATAAGACGTTATTGATGTAAGATCTTTGATCCTATATCAAGAACATCTTGCACAGTTGGTAACAAAGTCACAGACTGTCTGCCACGACCTGTGCGGAGTGTAGGTGTGGGTGGTAGTGGTGTGGGTAGGGTGTGGGTGCAAGTGTGAGTTTGGGTGAATGTGGATGTGGATGTAGGTGTGGACGTGGATGTGGACGTGGGTGCGCAGTGTGAGGTGTGAATGAGTGTGGCTGTGGGTTTCTTCTCTTCATCCACATCCCACATCGACACCCACACCCTCAGCCACACATCCACATCTACATCCACACCCGCACACACCCACACCCACCCACCTACACTCACACCTACGCACATCCACACCACATCCACATGCATTGTCTGACGTGTTTATTCACCACAGTCGATAATCGAATAAATTTTCAGAAGTCTCACAAGTGCTAATTTCATTTCCATCAATGCAAATCGCATTCCAACACAGTTTCGTGGCCCAGCACCAAAGGGGATCCATGCAAGTGGATGTCGTTTGTTAGCGAAGCGTTCCCGATAGAACACGTCCAGATCAATCGGATCCCAAAGTTCAAAATTAAGATGTAAACTTTGAATATTAGCAGCGATGACAGTACCAGCTGGAATAGTGCCGACATTCTTGATATGAAACTCTGTAGTATTCTGTCGATGGATGATGTTCGGTACAATTGGATACATGCGGAGCATTTCTCGAATAAACATATCTAAGTAGCCCAGTTCCGAAATCATTGCATAGCTTGGTCTTTCCTGTTCGTCCTTGGAATGAAAATGAGTATCGATATGCTCTTGTAATTTGCATTGTTCATCTGGATGACTAGCGAGAACATTCTCAGTATCATTCTCTCGAACATGACATCGAGCTCTCGACAAGGTATAACCTCCGAAATTCTTCTTGATTTCGAATACAGGAAAGTGATGCTCATCAATTATTTACCAATGTTTGATGATACAGTTCGAGAAGTCGTGATTCGACTGAGCGAGCTTGATCACTGTCGAGTAGGCATAGAAGAAGCACGACGTCGATTTAGACAAAAAGTGTCTTGTTCTTCTCTTTTTGAATGGTCTCTCATGTTGTTCCGATATAGTATAGCTATTGTAGTTTGTAGAGAATGTAAGTTTTAGATCCGAGAAAATTTTTGAATTTACCTAGAGCTATCCACATTCGAAAGAGGAGATGAAGATGTTTCGAACCATATATTGTACATTTTCCTAATATGTTGTCTGAAGTTGGTTTAATCTATTTTCCATGTATGAAAAAATAGTTTTTTTTTATCAAAAAGGAAACCGGAAAAAAAGCTTTTTCCACATGAATTACTTGAAAAATCACTTTGAGCTTCGACTAGAATACCTATAACTTCCAAATGATTAATTCTGAATATCTGAAACTCCTGTGGTTTACCAGATCTTCCATTGGTGATTTGAATACAGACGTAACAATTGAAAATTTGCTGTAAACACTTCACAGAATAGGTTTGTTTTCAAAGAGGACGATTGCAAACCTTAAAAAAATCATGTCAAAAACCGTATAATATACGACTCGATGCATCTTCATCTCCTCTTTCAAACGATCAAAATCACAGCTCTCTATCTTGTTCCAGTCATAAATTATTCAAAAAATATCCACTTCGCCTTTTTTTCGAAGTAGGCATTAGTATAATCGTCACATATGGGAGAAAGACAGGTCTTATCGAAATTTTATTATTATGATATTATTTGAAGAATGATATAATCATATAGAAAAATAGAGCGTCATTTTTACTATCCATTCATATAGAAAAATAAGTTTCTTTAAGCGTTTTGTAAGGAATTAAAGTATATCTGCCACTACTTTTGGATAGCTTTAAGTAGATGTCATCAGATCGCCAGCTCGTCAATGATAAGCAAGAATGAAGAAAAATCAAATTTCAATCTCCAAAGATTCTTTCCTTCTCTTACTCAATGTATTGGCTCCAAAATAAATGACAATTGGATGTTTTGACAATATTTGAAAAGTAAATTGTAATATGCATTTTATCCATTTTGTATGAGATTGCAGATAATGATAAAACAGTGACGGTAACATGAAAAAAAATTTTTGAATTAATTAATGATTAAAAGAAAAGACTTTCTTCTTCGTCACGAAAGTTCAAAGAGTAAGGTGAAAGCCGTGTCTGAGAGCATTTTGTGAAAGATTTTTCTTTAAAACATTGGAAGTAGCTCTAGATTAAACCACACCTGTTCATTCATAATTGATCCAATTTAATCTTTAGCAATAACAACAGTACGCTCATCTTTAATATCTTGCATAATTTCTTGATAAATCTATCAAGAATAGTTTCGGTGATCGGGCGCTAGACTCTATAGTGAATTTCGGGTGAGGGTAAAAGTGAGAGTGGATAGGGGGGACCGCGAGGTTATCTGTATGACCTTTATTTCCACTTTAAAGAGTTAAAAATGATTTTTTAACACAATGAAAATGCAAAGAATAATGAAGCAGAAAAAATAGACCATCCTATGAAAAACTTTTTCGGGGCAGATGATTGAGGAGCCGTTCTCTGAAGGTCTTTGAAGAATTGTACCTCGTATGGTGAATAGGGAATACCAGTAGCATTGAAAATGTCATGAAACCATACCAATGGTGTCGTGGCATTGACTGGTGATCCCCATGGAAAATAAGTCTGTGTTTTTCCGGCAACGAGACCCCAATTGATAGCACCTATTTTTTCTTTGTGAAAGAAGACCGTATGTGTATGAAAAGTGCTACCAGCTGTTCGAGCCATGTATTCAGTGCAAATCAATGGTCGGTTAAATGATCGAAATTCAGCCACTTGTAGCATAGTCTGTGCTAATGGTTCGTAACTATGAAAAGAAATGATATCAGATGATTCCAGTTCGAATCGCGTCAATGTACTATTCAAAGGACCAGGTAAGATACCGAAGGTCACTGGTTGACTTGGATTGGCCGAAATAGCAGCAGCATAGACTTCACGTAGAAGTGGCAAAACGATGGGCACTTGCTGACTACACTGGGGTTCATTGTAAAGATCCCAAATAGCTACGCGAGAGTCATTGGAGAAGCGAGAGAGAACATCACTTGTGTACCTAGAATAAAAAAATAACATTCGTGCTATTGGCTCTTGAATTATTAATCTAGATACAGCTTCTTTGGGTTTTTCTGAGTTACCCGAGTCGGATTACAGGTCATTTTTTGTGCGTGATATGAGATGTTTGAAATCGATGTATTTTCAATATAAAACTGGTGTTATCTTTCTGTTTCTGATTTCCACTAGTGTGACGCAGTGTTACAAATAAGGAAACCGCTTTAATCCTAGCTTTTCTTGTTGAATCACTAACACATTTGAACTTACTGTTTCAAGAGCGGCCATTTACTATTATCCATTAGCCATGCTTGTCCTGGACATCGTACCCACTGGGAATTGTGTTGGCCCGGAATAGGTTCTGGCTGTGGACCTAGCTGCGGATCTGGCCGCCAACATTCATCAAAGAGAACGAACATGATTTTAATGCGAAGTTGATCGGCGATTGTAAGAAAATCGTCTATCTTCTTATAGAAAGCTTGTGAATTCTGTTGATAGAAGAGAACGTGAAGGAACACACGCATTATGTTCATATTGATTTGTGAAGCCCATCTTAGTTCACGTTCGATAGTGATAGTATCAAATGTTTGCCACATATCGATCTCGTTGACAGATGAGGACGGTACAAAATTAGCTCCGAAATACCAAGGCTGATTGCTGTACCAAACATTGGCCTGTTCAGGTGTCCAACGAGCTCCATGAACTATAACTTTAATACAGGCACACAGGATCAGTAAGATAAACGACGAAAGCATCTTATTTATGCAGAGGAATACTTCGAGTTGCAAACGATAGTATCATTGCTTTTTTCAACCAGTTGAGAGAGCCTTGATAATAATAAAGAACAAATGAAAGATAAGATAAAGTGCTATGTTAAAGAACAGTAACAGATAGTTTTATGCAAATAAACAGAATATTTGGACTGAAATACCCGCCGTAAATGACAACATTCTCGTCATCAGTCGGTGTTTATGACACTATCCAAAAGCGTTACAACTTGTAATAGAAAAATCATTGATTGATCAGATATTCTACTAACATGGCCGATGGGTTGTGATTAGCTACGAAAAATGAAAAAGAAACAATCTCAGGATTAGACTTGTAACAACTTCCAGCCCTTTGAACCAGTCTTTTTTTGAGAATTTGATCTAATGGCTAGTTCTTTTTTTTTGAAGAGCTGGCCCTACTAGTTAGCGAAATTTAGCAGCTCCATCCACTAGCTGAACCAGTTTTCCATATCATGAGAAATATTTGTTGAAGTATTCCACTTTCCTTTATTTCGCATATTCTCAGAGTTCTTCATCGATCACATGAATTTCGCTTTCAGCTTGGTTCTCATAAAAAAATCTATCTTAATGATTTATTTTTTCCTCTTATCCGGCCGAATATTTTTTGTATCAATGACATACTCGGTGATTACATCTAACTCATAATTTTGGATATGCAATTATATATTTGAATCAATACTGAATTCAATAAGAAGAGGACATGATTAGTTTTAGATGAAAGACTACGAAAGAGAAACCTATCGATATACGCCACTTTTGAAAACGCACTGACAAGAGAGGAAAAGTAGATCCGAGGATTCTCATGAATGTTCATTGATCCTTACCACGCTAGTATCTACTTTTTTTCCTTGCGCGCTACATATAGAGACTCAGTATTAGAAATGGATGAGACTATCCTTTTTGGTCCCGACCTGAAAAAAAGCTTTTTTTAGTCCTAATATCCATCCGAAAACTCACTCCTCAGTCGCAGTTCTGCGCATGTCTACTCAGTGCTTATTTGTCATTTTAAAAAATGTAGTTTTCTATTATACGTTAAGGTTTCCGAGATCTATGTCTATATTACACTATTATTAAGAGACATATATGAAACAATACAATACTGAGGATGAGAGCGGCTTCAACCAAGACATTGATATAACAATTCATTATCGGGTATTATATTCAGGATGTATTCAAATGGTTCTCATTTAGCGAAATAATAAAACTATTCTTTGTAGTTCCCAAAAACAAATAGTTAGAATCTTTAAAATTATAAAATTCTGCCGTATCTGGAAATAAAAATAGCTATTAGTTGTAGATCACGCAGGCTCACTCTATCCAAATACAAGAACAGCCTCTCAAAACTCTGTCAATGACAGCTTGTGAGTTCGCTAGCTAAGTGTTAAGCAGCTTCATCGACTGTGCTGTAGCTTAAGATCAGCTTCCAATTCAAATAATCTAATGTAGACAAGGAAGCACTTGATCAGAAAATATTCCAATGAGATCAAAAGTTCAGGCGCTACGTAGATAAATAAACTCTAGACCCTTATACTACCAATTTTGGGTTGTTTCGATGAATAGATGATCAGTTCCCGTTCCCTGATCAGGAACTGTCACAGATCTACTCAGAATTAATCAATGGTTCATTACGATCTTTGAATACATATGGCTTTGACCAACTTTCGATCCACAATCTGAGCATCTGCACTGTTCTCAAATATTAATCAACAACCACTCTTGAAATTTTTTCAAGCTTTTCTGTAGTAACTTCCTATTTGCATTGGCAGATAACTCTTCACCTCCAGTCTTTTCGCTGAACAAATTAGACTGGTAGAATAAATGCAATATTTCTCTCGGATCTCAATCAAATATCATTTCTAAAACCATCATTAGAATGCATATCACAATTTGCGCAAGAGAAGCTGTTTGAACCAATATAATGAAGTGATCGTTTTCTCATCGGTGGGTTCAAAACAGTATTCAGAGTCTTTTTGATCGAACGTTCTTTGATAACAGAGCGCTCTCCATGATCTTTGACTGGCATTTAAAGAATTTTCTGGTATCAATAGTTTAAATCTTGTTTCACTCCAAAATAGTATTACGGGTACAGAAAGTGATTATGTTTTTCGTCAAGATTAGTAGGACTTAAGCATTACAAGAATCAAATTTAAAACAAATTTCGATCAATATCTGATCTGACGTCCACGTTACTTAACGGTACTCTCAGTAGTTTTTGTTGCATATTGAACTGATAGTCTACTACTTGATAACAATATAAAATCTGTCGTTCTGCACATGTATGTTATATGCAAGCAGCAACACAAAAGAAAATCGTTATTTTTCGCATTTTAACCGCGTCTAAACGCGCTTCATGTTCAAAACGTGTTTAGATGCGACTATTTCCTTATGAGACGCAGTCAATACGTCTATTTCGTGTTTAGCATTTATATGGGTAGAGAACGATTAACATTGGATTAATGCACATATCTTCTTTCTTCCTCCGTCTTTTTCACGAAAAAGTATTGTGTTTGCACATGGGGTACGTGAATAGTTGCTTGCATTTGTGCAGAATAAGTGCGATAAACAATTGATAAATGGCGCACTTTATTGACTATTGACAATTGGTTTTTTTTAACTTCCAAAAAGTAGCGCAATATTACTACTCAAATGAAGTGTTACCAAGTATTGACAACGACACTATCACACATTCTGTACTATATTTAAAAACCCATGTTTAAGATACTTCTGTGAAGAGTAACAAATATAAATCTTAATGGAGTATCTTGTCTAGATAGTTAAAAGATCGAATCGAGTATTGATTGATAAGAAAAAAGAATTTCAATGAAATACTGTGCTACATTCTTCAGTCTTAATCGAATTGAATAGAAAAAATTCTCACTCAATAACTTATCTATAAATCTGTCTCTAATTGTTTTTTCGAAAATACACAAATTTAACGAGATCAATATACGGGCACAACATTCAATCTAAAGACGAGTGAATCAATATCCGATGAATGTTACTTAATAATTCTGGTCGACGTGATGAATATAACGGCAATTCAATTCGTACTGTACAAATATCTAAAGACTTTCGATAACCTGTCTATTTGATCAAGCATAAATGGACGATTAAACCAAAATAGGAATATTTGGATTTTGAGAAAATAGTCTTAATAAAATGTTTTCGGTTCGCCTTATCTGTCGTTTCACCTGTACGGTTCAAATGTTTTATCATTCATTTCGAACTGTAGATTCTCGTATGAGGAAATCACCAGATACAAATCATATGTAAATGAGTTCTTTAGTGATCGTCTCTTTATTCAAATAAAAGCAAAACTCATAGAATGAATTCATTGTAGAAAGAATTTCACTGTCATCAGAACCGGAAAAGCATAGAAAAATCCTGCTTGGAACTGTTTCAACTTAGTTTTAAGTTATCAGAAATCTATTCAAGTCGTTCCACTTTTTGAAAAAAAAGCTATTCTTAATTTATTTTAACGGAATAACTGCATCTTATTTCATTTCCAAGGTGTATCTTGTGATCGATTGATCATATATGGTATATATCCACACTAAGTGCATATGAAAAGTACAAAAAATTTTGGACAGGAGTTGTTGTGTGATTTTAGAAAAAATATAAAAACAAGAACACGACAATTGTTAATCTGAAACATAATCTTGTTGTCAGTTGTTAATCAATATCGCTCAGATCTATTGATGGTTGAGTCTCGGCAGTGAGCATCGGACGTGACATTGGTTGTTGATAGTCATCTAAATGGAACTTGATTTCTTTCAATTCTTGTTGAAGTGATACAACACGTTCATCTTGCTCTAGTTGGGCTTGTCTCACAATTCTCATACACTGAATCGATTGGTCAGTCGTTCTTGCAGTTGTATCATACGTTTAGTCAGATGATTAAATATCGAATCATTTTCAGATCTATCTCACCAAAAGGAACACATCAATATCTGTTTCATACGGTTTACAATGTGGTAAGACCTAAACATTATGAACATCCTGCGAGACTTTCGTAAGGATTTAGTTCATTTTGTCTATGTGCTTGTTTCTTTGTAACACATGTCCAAAACCAGTGTCTATCTCGTGATATCGTATGGGTTTTTCTATATTTGGATCTTATGAAATTCTAAGATGAGAAAAACCCACTTTTCTTCTTTTGCATATAACTTTTTGGCCTTACTCATAGACTGACAGACATAGCGATCTATTGCTCTGATGATCACAATATTGTCTGAAATATACGATACAAGGGGTCTCTTTTATGCTTAAGAGTCTTACCATGTCATATATTTAATCTCACAGAGATGGTGTTGAATTTTGTTGATCTTATTTACTTGGAATTAGTTTAACACTGTGTTCAAAGCATTCTATTCATCACAATGATATTGCTATATCTATACTGGGTGAATAGGCAGTATAAATTTGTCGTTATATTTCTCCTACTAATATATTTATTGAAACGAAATTTCATCATCTTTCAGTCTAGGGTCAAGTGAATCAGTATCCAATGAACGGTACTTGTTCCGTTTCAGCTGAAAAATCAGCATATCCAATACCATTTATTGTACATGTCAATCTAACATTTAATAAAAGCTTGTTTTTTTATGACTTCGAATTATTATCTTTCTTTT